GTTACGATCGGGTAACCCGTGATCGTACCCAACCCTAGCAATACCGATACAAGGGGTGTTGGTCATCAGCATGACAGTGTTACTAAAAGAAAGCCCAACAATTTAAATATGACTTATATTTAAATTGTCAGGTTTTTTTTAATGACACTCATATAATAACACATATATTTATTAATTTTTGTTGTATTAAAATTATATAGTAATTTTTATGTGCACTTTTAAATTTTAAAATGTTAACAATACATTATGTGACATTATGTTTTGTATAATATAATGAATATAATGCAAAATGCACATCTCTAATTATAACAAATTAATTAACAACCGGCAGATCAACACAAGAATTCAAAATTTTATACAATACAAATTTAAAACTAAACCTATATACAACAGTATTCCTCTAGCAATTTAAACAAAATTTAAACACCTGGACCATATTTTCTTTTTCATATTTACTAAAGCAAAAAGATTCATGCTACAATATCAGAATGAATATGAAGAACTATTTTATAATACACTCAAAATTACAAAAGAAAACCAATTACTATTACCAACAAGGAAACTAGAGAGAATATTCTGACAAAAAGTTTTTTTCGATTTTATAACTAAAACTAACTTCAACAGCTGCTCTCCAAAAGATATTATACAACTAATCAAATATTACAAAAGATTTACTAAAGATACAACCTTAAACACCTATGATGAAATTTAAAAGGCAGTTTAAGCTGCAATAAAGGAAAATTACAACCTCTATCTAAGCACTCTAATGAAATTTCTAAATATATACAACAAATATTACCATTTACTCTATCTATAAAAGGGTGTGGTGACTTAGTGAAGTTGGTAAGTTGTTGCACTCCCAAGCAGCAGGACTAGAGTTTGAATCCCACTAGCAATGAAAATTTGAATTATAAAAAATACATTTAGAAGACTATATCCTATTAGGTTGTAGAATTGTAATAGTAGTTGTACCAGCTTGTACTGGGAGGTAGTGGAACATGTAGTATGATGTACAAGTTACACAAAACCCAAGTGAAACTACCAGATAAATTCAGCGAATTTACAGAGTATGGGAGCCTGCTTGGCAAGATCTGAGTAGAGAGGTAGCACAGATCTTTAACGGTTACTATATAAAGGATGATCAACTAGATACTGAAAAACCAGATGGGACCAAGGTGTTTGGCAAAAGCACTATACCAACTAGGCTAACAGAGAAAAACGGAGGAAGGGTTCCACTCTTTCGGGCTGTAATATTGGGAGTTTGGGTTTCCAAAAGTATGAAAGAGAGTCTGTAAAGAGGTACCAGGTTTGGGTGAACTCTACAAGCGCAGTAGTAAGTAACTGTAGCAGCTTTGGCTTGCAAGTACTTGTTTCGGACTCAGCATAAGTTACTGAAAAAGCCTAGTCTGAAAATGTGTGGGACATAAAAAGATTAGGGGGTATATACTACACCCTCCTTAGGGCAACCTGGTAAGTATGAGAACCCTACTGGGTTATCTATAGAATTAGGACACAAGTAGTATAGCACATATTGATCTGGATAGTCTTTAAATATAGTAGCATGAGGTTATGGGTCAGCATAATTGTAGGTGGTAGTAAATGTACTACTTAAATATCTAATAAAAATTTGCCTGTTTGTGATATTGCAAGGGAAAAAAAAAAAAAACTCTACCTGTAAAGAACAAAATATAAACAAAAGCTATTGTAATAGCTTTTCATCACTTATATCAATTTAATAAACTACCAGAAAACTACTTAATAAGCTTAGATCTTCTTACTTTTTTTAAAAACCTTTCTTTAGCAGTATATGAACTGTTTTTAATTACTGATAGATGAAGGCTAAAAGAATTTGGATATTATAGAGAACAACTACAACAATATTATAAGCTTACTTCTATTTCAGCTAACTATTTTAATCTTTCAAGCTACTCCTACTACCAGCTTACTAAGATTTATCTATAAATACACTTTCTACTTGATCCAAACTACTATTGAAGAAATAATAAACAAACTATAGAAAGACTATATAAATACTACACTTTTAGAAATCTATTATATGACTATTATATTGTAAAACTACCACTATCCAAAAATCTGACTAAAATTAAACCAACTAATAAATATAAATTTCTAATCACTAACAAATAGAAAGCTATAAACTTTATTTATAAAATTAGCCTTACTTATAAATTCAATATACTACTCTCATTTGAAATAATGATAGCCAATTCTACAGACAAACCTATGCTCTCTGATGATCTACAAACTATTATAGAATACAGTATTACTATATCTGTCATATCAAATAAAGCCCTAACTGAAGTAACCAAACTATTAAAATCAACTTATTACTTTTACTAAATTCTAACTATATGGATTTAGCTTAATATTAACACAAACAGCAATAATACAAGCATAGCAGAAGCAACAAAACCTATTATACAAGACAAAATAGAAGAAATTTACAAATATTTGCAAAATAATAATATTAGCACATCAAAAATAATATCATCTATTACTGATCAAACAATAGTAGCCAAAACTCTTAAAATTTTACATTACAACTTTACAATTAACCATATCCCAAACTCAATTTTAACACTTTTACCCTTTCAAAGTCAATTTAAAAAATCTTTTTACCTACAAGAAGAAACAAAAATGATTATAAAATAGATCATACAACAACTACAGTACAAATATACCAGTATAACAAATTGTCTTCTATAGAAATGTGAGACTTATCCAAATTTCTAATATATAGCATAGTTTCGACAAGGTTTTAGTTCTTCTTAACAAAGTTTTGATTATATGTAAAGTAGCCCAAGTCTTAGTTTGCTAATGAAGTATATATCATACACTTCTTTGTAAATATAATTATTAACTTTATAACAAATAAACTTAGACAAGACCTTGCTTTCAAAACTAAAAAAAAAAGTTAATTGATGATTTAGCAATCAATCAGAGAGAGATAATAGTGTAATATAATGTGGTTTATATATAAAAATTAGGATTTGTGAATGTGAGCTGCTTCTATTTAAATTATTTTGTACTAAGTTAATTATCTTTGAGCTTCTAATTAAAGTTGTAAAGCTCATTAAGACAAGTCTAATAGTGATTTAATTATCAAAATCAGTCTAGTAGATCATAAAATATCTTTAAAAAACTTTTGCTAACTATATAAACTTCTCTTTCTACAATAGTATTATTAAAAAAAAGTTTATATAGTATCACATGATCTACTAATCTAATTTTGATAATTTAATTACTATTAGATTTGTTTTAATGAGCTCTACAACTTAAAATATAAGCTCAAAAGTGATTAATTTAATATAAAAAAGTTTTAGATAGAAGCAGCTTATATTTACAAAACTCTAATTTTTATATATAAATATCACATAGTTTCTAGACAACCCTTGTACCTAGTAAGGAGAATGCTAATTGATTATGACTTGTATACACAAGCAAAAATAACAAAAGAAGCTTGGGTAGGCTCTTTGACAGATCACATGATTGTATGAACAAGCAGCACTACGACGAGATTGATAGTGCAGGGCGACTTTATCGAGATTACGTGGCACATGATCATTGATTGACGAAACAATAACGGTAATGCAATGTAATTAGATAATAGTTAAAAGTTTATTAAAGTATAAGCAAGCATGGATAATGTAATTAAATTAGAATAAATATAAATAGAGAAAATTAATAAAGAAAAGGATACAGGATTTGTTAAATAAAGAATTGTGTTAAAGAGTAAATTGGGTGCATTTGTCTGTTAAAAGTGTTAGTGAAACATCTCTAGAATATAGGGACAAGTATACTTTTGAGTTAGATAACAGAAAACTGAATACTGAATAACCCTGTGATAGAGAAGGACCTGGGCAATAAACCAAATTACTCTCGCAAGAACAGAAAAGAAAAGTAGTCAAACATGTTAGTAAAACTGTAAAATCAAGTGAACTAATAACATATAATAAACAAGAAAAGTACATACAAACCTTTTCAGTAACAATCGATCATGACAACACAAAACTTGATGAAACCATTTTATCTTGGTCGTGAGGATGAAGATATAGAAGACTTCCTTTTTGATTTTGAGATATATGCCGAATGAAACAATGGGATGACGATCATAAACTGAAAGTTGTAGGGTTATATATCTCAGAAAAGGTGAGAGTTTGGGTGCGAGAATTGATGAAAGCCAGTACAGCGTAGTCAGATTTAAAAGCTGTGATTGTAAAGGTGACCAAAATTAAGTATTATAATGAAGAAAAGATCATTAGGCTAATGAAAATTAAACAAGAACAAGATGAATCAGTAACAGGATATACAAATTTATTTGAAACCTGTGCAAAAATTTTGAAAATAGTGTGCGATCATATGAAAAGCGAAAATGGTATATCGCTAAGTTAAAAAGGGAATTATGGGAGAAAATTGAGTTGAATTTTCCAGCTGATTTTGATGAAGCCAAGAATTTGGCAGTAAAGATTGAAGTGTATAGCAAAGATAATGAGTATGATACCAAAAGGGCAGCTAAAACATTGGTTAAAGAATTAAAAGAGGGCAATAATTTTGATATTGATAGTTTGACGGCCACGATAGATAGTTTGAAAATATCTAAAGTAGACAAGAGGCCCGATAACGACATCCAAGAGATTAAAGATGCTATGAAACAGTTGACGAAAGTAATTACAGATCTTGCTACCAATAGTGGACCACAACGGCGAAGTGATCGAAGTACGGGGTCTTTATGATGTTATGCGTATCATAAGGAAGGCCATATATCACATGATTGTCCAGAAAAGGTTCTGAAAAATCGATTTCTGGGTAAATCCGAAGATTAATAAGAAAGAAATGGCCCAAAAGATGAGAGTATAGGTCAAAAGGGACCTGATGTACAGCTTGTAGATATATTTGATGGAGAATCGAGTAGCAGTCTGGAGTATCTTATAGTCGAATTAGTAGATAATGAAGGTGATGGTCAAAGAGATAATTTTAATGATATAAAGAATTTGGGTAAATGAAGACAACAAGACTGGGTTGATACTCCTAATAAGAAAGGAAGGCTACATAAAATAGTAAATGCAAGGCAGGAAGAACTATTGGTGTCACAAAAGATAGGAACAAAAAATCAATAATGTATATACCACTATTGGACTTTACGGAAGACCTAGATGTATTAAAGACTGTGGCTGATCTCAAATTTGATATAACTCTTGGACAATTGTTTAAATGATCACCAAAGGCAAGAAATGAAATTATGAAGGCTTTGGCTCGAAAAAGAAAAGACGTCGACGCAATGAATTTGGATGTCAGGTTGTGATTTGTTTAGGTAAGTTGAATACTAGGAAATGGAGATGACATTGTTCTGATATGGCCGGCATTTGTGAATAGGAAACAAGTTGACATGCCAATTGATCCGGGTTCGCATTTGAATTTAATGCACAATAATTACACAAGAAAAAGAGGGTTAATCTGCAGCTAGCCTACGGTAAAGGAAGAATGGTGGATGATAGAGTGAATGATTTTGTGGACTATATTCCTCAAGTAAAGGTTGAAATAGAAGGAGTAGTTACAAATCAAAATTTTTATGTGATAGAATCAGCAAGTTTTGATGTTTTATTAGAAATGCCATGGTTAGCTGGTGCACAGTGTAATCTTTATTGGAGAGAGAATGAATATTGGTGCATGGTGTCATCTGCGAATAGAGAATCGTCATTTGTAGTATCAGTGGTGCCAAGAAATTGGTTGGAAAAAAATGATGTAGATCAATTTAATGACTACAATGAAGAGGATGGAGAAGAAATTAATCAAGTATCTGTTGTCAGAAGAGTTCAAGTAATAAGAAATGAAATGAAAGAATTAGAGAGAAATAAAAAAGAGTTTACTTTGTTAAGTGATTGGGAAAAATCACAGGATCTTTCTATTGGAAAGGAGAGTCGATTAGAGATTTCAAACCTGTAATATTATGAAGATTAACCTCAGAGAATGTAAATTTGTTGAATGTTGGACCTAAACTTTGTTAAAGGAGAAACAATATGTAACAAATCGTTTAATTAAAGAAGTATTTAAAGTATTTGCTTTCGATATGTCTGAGTTGAGATGAACCAATTTGGTAGAATATAAGGTGCGAACTGGTAGCACAGAAATACCACCTATGAGACTTAGACCAATTCGAATTAACAATCCTGAAAGAGCTTGGTTATTTGAGGAACATTTAAGAGATATGATCAAATACAGTCTATTGGAAGATGGACATAAACCCTATGCTTATCATTGTTTTCTGGTAGATAAAAAGGAGGGCAGCACTGATCGAATACGAGCTGTAGGAAATATAAGACTGTTAAATAAGCATATTATCAAGGATAGTTATCCACTTCTGATTATTAGAGATATATTGTAAAAGGCAGCAGGTCACGAATAGTATTCAAGTGTTGATGTGTTTAAAGGATACGTATACAGGAGGAAGACTGGGACAAGGTGGCTGTTTCAACGTCTTTAGGGGTTTTACGATATACTGTGATGTGAAAAATGCTAGTGAAACTTTTCAGTAATTGATGGATTTGATCCTAAAAGATGATAAGTAGAAGCGATTTGCCGCTACATACCAAGACGATGTGGGACTATGGACCAATAGCGACTTGAAAGATCATGTAAACATGTTTATTAAATTAGTTAGAACATTTGAAAAGGCAGGACTCACAATCACAGCAAAGAAATGTTTTGTGACATATAAAAAATTAAATATGTATGGTTTTATTGTGAGCAAAGAAGAAATAAAAGTGGATGATAAAGGCTTGAAGAAGGTGCGAAATTGGAAGGATCCGAAGAGTTCAAATGAAGTAAAGTCATTCCACAGGACCGTAGGATATTATCAGTATTTTATAAAGAATTTCAGTAAGATTGCAAGCCTGTTGATGGACTTGATGAAGAAAGATAGTGAATTTCATTGGGGTGTTGAACAGAAGCAATTGTTTGAGAAATTAAAAGAAATATTGTTGGAGGAAGTAGTTTTAAAAGGACCTAACTGGAAACATGTGAAAAGTGGTAAGAGATCATATCAATTATATACCGACACATATAATATTTCACTTGGGGCAGTCTTAGAACAAGCTGATGAAATAGGAAATTTAAGACCAATGATATTTGATTCAAGAAAATTAAATAGGCATGAGATCAACTATACAGTTATAGAAAAGGAATGTTTAGCAATCATTTTTGGTTGTAAAGCAAACAAACGATATGTTGGAGCTACAACGTTTAATATATGGGTTAATCATCAAGCCCTTGAGTAGTTATTTAATAAGGTAGACCTAAGAGGAAGATTGATGCGATGGGTCTTAGCATTACAATCGTTCGAATTCCAGATATATTATAAGAGTGGCAAAAGACATGGAAATGTGGATGGAATGTTGAGATATCCAATAGACCATATGACGGAAGATAAGGACAATGATGAGTTTATTGATGGAATGATTATACACATAGGTAGACTTAATAATAGAAAACAAGATCTGATCTGAATGAAAGAATTTCTGACAAGTTTCGTTTGGGCACGTGATGTGAAAGCTAGGGATTTATCACGATTACAATAGAAAATGAAATGCTATTGTGTAATTGGAGAACATTTGTTTAAAAGGAGTAGAGGTAGTGTTTCACCAAAACGAGAGATCTTTGATGATAACAAAAAGAATCGTATTTTGGTGGCAAATCATTGTGGATTAGCTGATGAAAAAGGACATCGTGGAATTAATGGAACAGCGAGAAAAATTCTGATGAATTATTGCTGAGCTTCTAGTAATATATATGAAGACGCAGAAAAATATGTAAAATTTTGTATAGAGTGCCAGAAATGTGCACCGAAATCAATTAAGGAGCCGCTTTATGTGACCGCAACTAGTTAGATTTTTCACAAATTATATATAGACTGTTTAGGGCTGCTGCCTAGAACAACTGGCAGTTATGAACATGTACTAGCAGTTGAGGAGTTAACTGGATATGTAGAAGGAAAGGTGTTAAGAAAGAAGAATGCAAATATGATTGCCCAGTTTATATAGGATGAAGTCATCACGAGACACAGATGTTTTGTGATTTTGGTTTCAGATAGGGGCACAGAATTTAAAAACAATATACTAGAAGAGTTGTTGACACGATTGAATATTGATCAATGATTTGTAGCAAGTTATTATCCAGAAGCCAACGGTTAGGTGAAACATACTATACAAAAATTTACGAGGATTATTAGAAAGATATGTGCCAAAAAACAGAATAAATGGCACGAATATATAAGAAGTGCAATTTGGGCTATTAACGTTACTGTTAATAATTTAGGGTATTCTCCTTTTTAGTTGGTTTATAGATGGGATGCTATTATGGCAATTCAATTAATGTTGGAAAGTTATCAAGTGTATGTTGTGAGAGGAGAATAGTCGACAGATGATTTGTTAAAATATCGTACAAAACAAATAAAGAGAATAGTAGAAGATTTAAGAAATGCGCAAATTAAGAAGGACGAAATAAGGCAACTATGAAAAGAAATACATGATGGAAAATCGAAGAAGAAAGAAACTTACCAGAGTGGTGATTTAGTTTTGGTGTACGATTTGATATTGGAAATGACATCCCGAAAATTGGATTATCGTTGGATGGGTCCTTATAAAATTTGAAAGATTGGAAAATTTGGCCAAGTGTATTTGAATGAATTAGATGGTTGTGAATTAAGGGATCCAATAACAAGGAATAGAGTCAAGAAACTTTTTACCTGAGATGAAGATTCACCTGATCATAGCGATCAAAGTGGTGCCAAAATGATGTGGACCTTGAGGATGAGAACCAGAAGGGGTCTAGCTCATGTCACATAGTTTCTAGACAACCTCTGTACCTGGTAAGGGGAATGCTAATTGATCATGACTTGTATATACAAGCAAGAATAACAAAAGAAGCTTGGGTAGGCTCTTCGACGGGGTCATATGATCGTATGAACAGGCAGCACTATGACGAGATTGATAGTGCGGAGTGACTTTATTGAGATCACGTAGCATATAATCATTGATTGATGAAACAATAACGGTAATGCAATGTAATTAGATAATAGTTAAAAGTTTATTAAAAAGTATAAGCAAGCATGGATAATGTAATTAGATTAGAATAAATATAAATAAAGAAAATTAATAAAGAAAAGAATACAGGATTCGTTAAATAAAGAATTGTGTTAAAGAGTAAATTGGGTGCATTTGTCTGTTAAAAGTGTTAGTGCAATGTCTCTAGAATATAGGGACAAGTATATCTTTGAGTTAGATAACAGAAAACTGGATACTGAATAACCCTGTAATAATAAACTATGTTACATTATGCTATGATCTCTTTTTGGTTAACTAGTAAATTACCAATTAATATTTTTTTTTCTAGTATTAAGGTGAAGTTATGCCTCATGTATCTTTATTAAATCATAAATCTGTATATTACTATACAATCTTGCTGCTTGCTTATATCTACTGACTGACTAATCTAAGAATATTAAACTTAGAATACTTTATTTATAACCTAAACCTATTAGAGCCTTTTATATCTGATTTGGATTTTTATATACTACTCCTGTCAATCAATTTTTATCTATAGATTCTCCATATTTCTTATACTAACAACACCATACTTCTAGCTTAGTACTCAGTATAGTATCTATTACATATCCTATTAAAAAGCACTTAACAATTGTAGCCTCATAGTTACTAGTATTATAGTTTCATAAGATGTTGGTCATATATATTCAGATCTTGCTAACAGATACTTCCAGAATTGGTGTATGACAGAATTAGATGTCAAAACTTCTAACCAAGTTTTTTATAATAGGATCACTTCTAAATTAAGGGTATTCAACCCTCTTGGTGCTTACTAATTTTGGTGTTTCTAGTATTACATTTCATATTACTACTTCTAGATGGATACAAACTTGTTGTTTCTTGTTACGTTTTAAGTGTACCTCAAATTGTCTGCTAATCTCTCTCTATTTAGATAATCTATTTTC